CATTTGTTTTTTTTTTTTTTGCAACAAACAGAATTGCAATTGAATTTCAGGATTTTCAAGATCGACTATCTGAGGCATAAAATCACTGATCTCGCCATCCTTCGGAAGGGAAGTAAAGCCGTTGGTCCTTAGTTCATGAGTTGATAGGTCGATAAGTAGGGTCCAGGTGTGGGAGCTTTAGTACGGAAAACAAGATCGACGGAAAAACAAATCAAAGAAAAAAGAAAAGCTTGTTTATATTTAGCAACTGCAGCATACTTACTTACCTCAAATATCAATATTTTTGGAAATTTTACACTTATTTCTCGAAATTCACAGTTGAAAACAATTAAATATTGTGAAACGCGGAAAGAGCTGAATTCAGTTTTGTGTTATTAACGGCGCCGGTGGTGTAGTGGTAAGCGTGATTACCTCTCACCCCAGCAGGCCTGGGTTCAATCCGAGGTTCAATCCCAGTCGGCGCCGCCGGGACGTTCTGAGGCATAACATCTCTGATCACGCCTTCCTTCGGATGGGAAGTAAAGCCGTTGGTCCCCGGTTCATGAGTTGATGGGTCGATAGGTAGGGTCCAGGTGTGGGAGCTGCCTTCCTGGCACGTCGGTAGCATTGGTGCTCAGCACGGAAAACAAGATCGACGGAAAAAACAAACCAAAGAAAAAAAAAGTTTTGTGATATTGTTTAAATTTTTGTCCGGGTGAAAACGACGGAATGGTCGGTAGTTATTTTTGCATTCATGCGTTGTACCCGGGGAGTGTACACAACAAATAAATGCTAAATTAAAACTAACTATTGTTGACTTAATAAAAGAATATTGTTATTTTTACCACAGTTGTAGTTGAAAAGTGGCTTATTAAAAAAATAATAATCCTGTTTTGAATTTATATGAATAAGTTTTATTGAAACAACAAAATGCAATATAATTTCAACCGGAATTGTTTGTTTAAATACAACTAAAGTTTTTTTTTTTTGGTTCAATGCAAACAATTTTCTGTCCGTGTAGAAGAACAGTGGATGAGCATCAAGAATGCCTTTATTGAAACAAGTGAGAACAACCTGGGTGAGCTGCGCACTCAGAGGAAGGAGTGGATCACCGATGAAACCTGGAGGAAGATCGAGGAGCGGAGAGAACCAAAAGCCGCTATAGAGCGAGCAATGACCCGAGGAGCCAAGAACAAGGCCCGTCAGCGGTATTCGGCTCTAGAGAGGGAAGTTAGGTGTTCCTGTATACGGGACACGTGAGCGTGGGTGGACTCTCTGGCTGATGAAGTGGAGAAAGCCGCAGCAATTGGCGATATCCGCCTCCTATATGATGTTTCACGACGCCTGAGCGGGGCAAGGATGAACCCAAGGATGCCTGTGAAAGACGCGACTGGATAGTTGCTCACCGACCCCACTGACCAGTTGAAACGTTGGTTTGAGCACTTTGAACAACTTCTCGAAGTTTCAACGGTCAACCAACCATCAACATTTCGGCATGTGTGGTTGTGTGGATCATATTGTCACGCTCCGCATCATCTTAGAGCAGGTCAATGAGTTCCAAGAGTCCCTGTACTTGGTATTCATTGACTACGAAAAAGCTTTCGACCGACTAAACCACGAAAACTTGTAGGGCGCTCTGAGACGCAAGGGAGTCCCTAATAAGATCGTCAACCTCATCGAAGCGCAGTACAAGGCTTTCTCATGCAGAGTGTTGCACAACGGAGCTTTTTCTGACCCGATTCGGGTAATCGCGGGTGTGAGGCAAGGATGTATATTATCACCGCTACTGTTCCTCATCGTAATCGACGAGATCATGGTTGGAGCCGTTGACCGTGTACCGAACCGTGGGTTGCTGTGGCTCCTCTGAAGCAGGTCTAACAATCAACGTCAACAAGACCAAATCGTTGGATGTCAACACGGAAAACCGTTCCAATTTCACGGTAGCTTGGCAGGCAGTGAAGCAAGTCGAAAGCTTCCAATATCTTGGCAGCCAGATAGCGTCGGACGGCGGCTTTTGCCAGTTTGGAGAGCGAATCAGATCAGTCGCCGCACCAAAATTCGAATTTTTAACTCGAACGTGAAGTCTGTGCTGTTATACGCCAGTGAAACATTAGCGGAGAACACTCAGAAGCTGCAGGTGTTTATCAACCGATGCCTGCGGTACATAATTCGTGCCTGGTGGTCCCACAATTGGATCTCAAATTCCAAGCTTTATCGTTTGTGCCATCCGAAGCCGATAGGGACAGAAATTTGTAAACGTAAGTGGAGGTGGGTCGGCCACACACGGAAACGATACTGCAAGCAAGCACTGGACTGGAATCCAGCAGGACATCACAGCAGAGGCAGACCAGAGGCTCGTGGCGGCGGAGCCTAAACAGTGAAATTAAGAACGTTGACCGAAATTTGACTTGGGCACAGGTCAAGGCCAAAGCTAGTAATCTCGCAGGATGGAAATCTTTCACAAAAGCCCTTTGCACCCCTGGAGGTGCGCACGATCGTTAAGTAAGTAAGTAAGTATTCTAAGCAAGCAGAAACTACACATAATGGGTATGGTCCCGAGTATGGTCCTATACATTTTTGAGATGATCCAAACCTAGCTAGTGCGTTGGCCTTTTTATTCCTTGAAATCCGCAGTGACCAGGAACCCAAAATAGGTTCATTTGGTTTTGGCGGGCTAATTTTTGGAGTGACATTGCACATTCCCATACAAGTTTAGAATTACATGTTGCTGATTTCAAAGCATTTAGTGCTGCTTGGCTATCAGACATAATGCAGATAAAGCGTGAAGACGAAATTATTGCAACTCTTACAACTGGCTGTATACCTTTATTCCTACTTGGTGGAAATTATCCAAATGTTGCGTAGTTTCTCTTTGAAGTGTATTGTTTATATCCTGTAAATTGCGTTGTTGTATGTTTCGATGCGGCTAAGATCGAAGTGAGTTTAGTGAAGACGATGGATGCCTCCATTTTTGCTTCCATTTTTGAGGCAGCACAGTGAAAATCCATTGTTTTGGCGGACTTAGCGAGGGGGGCGACACATCTAAATGCTAAACAAATCTCACTAGCGAATCAATCTTCGAAAAATCTTCTTTCCTTTCTCGCATCTAATTGCATCGTGCATCATCTTTTTGCTAGAAATCTTAAGAATCGTAATCAATCTTCTTTCTAGCTACTCAGCATGCGCGCAGCTAACCACCAAACTGTCCAGAACTACACCCAATCGAAACTTTTTTAGGCCATGATGAAGCGGGAACTCAGAAAGACCAAGGAGAAAGTAAAGAATGCAAATGACATACGGAGGAAATTAATAAAAAATGAGAAAAAGGTACCGGATACGACTGTACAAGCTCTTATGGATCACCTTCAAGGAAGTAAAAGTGTCGGGCATTTTACCAAACAACCCCCAAAAAATTGATCCAATATATGTATACTGAGCTAATCACATGTACAGAACCACCCTACACGGATAGAAATCTCCTTATACCTTTTGGCAAATTTCTATTGCTGATTATTCATAAAATGTATAAGTCAACTAATAAGCAGACGCCTTGCAAAAAGTTAATGAAGATCATGTGTCAAATTAAATGTATAAGCGGTCACACATACCTTTTATGCATTCTTATAGGACCTATGTGGTTTTTCTTATGGAATGTATAAGGCTGATGTTTTGGCAAAAATGTATAAGTGAAACACATGGATAAAATAGTTGATTTTCGTTTCGTGTACAAATTTGGTTTTTATCTGATAAATACGTGAAATTTGAGAGCAAATTAAATGTGTAGCAATAATTTCGTGTTCACCCTTTATTTGGATGTCTATAATTTCTACGCAAGCAAATTTTAGAGCATTCAAGAATTGCATGAACTTCTGCTTGGAACACGGTAGGCCAGTAACCCATAGATATCGAGATATTTATTCCTGGACCTGTTACCCCTGCTCCTACGCGATTATGCAATCTAGAGCCGTCTGTATAAGAGACTATTGATCCTGGATGAATGATTGGTCCCCCATTTTCCTACAAATCGCGATCCGGATCTGCTACTTTGTAAATACGATCGAAGTGATATTTTTCCTTCATCTAATCTTCATTTTGTATCACAAGTGAATCAATATTGAACATTTTTTGGATGCTCATATGTCCTCTAAGATCACCTTCAAGGAAGTGCTGTGACCGTCGGATCTTAATGCATTCCTTTCGGCTTCTAATTGAATAAATTGATGCAACGGAAGTAGATAAAGTAAAGCATCTAGTGCCATGCCTGGTGTGCTGCTCATTGCACCAGTTATGGAGAGAGTAGCTAGTCTTTGTAGCCTCCTCAGCTTCTTTTGAGCTGATTTTTCATTGGTTTTAGGCCACCAAACCAATGATGTATAGGTTATTCTGGGTCTTACAATCGTCAACTAAATCCAGTGGATCATTTTAGGTTTTAGTCCCCATTTCCTACCAAAAGTTTTTTTACTTATCCAAAGATCATATTTGTTGCCTTGTTGATGACTTGCTCTGGATGTGAATTCCAGTTTAGTTTGCTGTCAAGAGTAACTGCTAGTTAGTGGCTAGTGACTCCAGAACATAAACATATTTAGACAGTTGATTAATGACAATTATTGCTGATTGCAACTGAAATTGGACTGCCTAAAAAATTCAAAAAGTGTTCGTTTTGGTGTTTTTGAACCACTTATTGCTTGCATCATAAGGAATAAGTGCACCGAAGACACCAAGACGATCAGACTTTTTAATAAGTAAAAACGCGCTTATTTGTCCAGTTTGGCGTAAAATGCGGAATACTAACAAAGTTAGGAAACGAGAAAAAAGTGATTTTAGTGACTTCCAGTTGAAAAAAGTGACCAGTGGAATTGAAGCATCGAGGATTCATATCTTCAATAGGCAATTGTTTGTTTTCCACAGCATTTCCCATGTGGTTGTTTGTTGTAGATAGCGGGTTCGATTGTTTAATCAAAAATTAATGGGATAATCATAACCAAGCATCCTCTTTAAACTTTCCATTTATTTTCTATTTAATAAATAGTTATTTTTATGTCCGTAGCTTAGATAGTAAATGCATGCATCAGTGATAGTTATTACCTGATTCACAAATGAAAAAAAATAGTTCAAGTATGAATATGAGCCAGCTCCACTAAATTTATTCATTATCACTACATTCTTCTTCGTCCGTTGATAAAATTTTCTAGTTCACTTTGTTTCGACATGCATGGTTACTCTTTGCTTATATGCGTTTAGATTTATTTCGAAAATTAGTTTCTTGCAAGATTTAAATAGTTATAGTGCTTACGTTCAACCTTTTTTTTCTCACACCATCATCATACTTTTGCTGCGATAGCTACGAAATTGTCTTTTTTAATTAGCTAAAAATACTCGAAAGGAAATCTCAATGCTCGACAAATTCAATCTAGCCTTTTCCTTACCAACAGCTAGTAAAACAAAACATAAAAGTTAGACAACATTTAACAGAATTTGTGTCCAATATCTAGAACAGTCTCTTTTGCACGATGTAGAATACACAGGCTAGAAAGAAGGAGAATGCGAAGAATAGTAGGATTTTATCGGTGCATTCACGTCGGCCGTATTTCTTCAGCAGCTTGCCTGATTGTGAGATGGTACCGGCCGTATTTAGCAGTTCATCTCGCGTACCTTCCACACTGGAACTGGAGGAAATAAGAGTCTCCAACGTGGCGGCGCTTTTATGCGTTGTCTCCGACAGTTGCTGCGATATCGAGCGCATCCTATCGGTTACACTTTCCTGCTGGGAAAGTAGAGAGGATCGGTTTGGCTTGCCGGAGGTTCCCGTCGGATGCCGTTGGCGCAATTCACTTTCTGGGCTGATGGCAAAAAGTTCGTCCTTTTGCTGTTTCTCGATTTCGAGCATAGTTGATATGTTTGCTTTGCGGAATGCTTGAAGTGTTCTGAAAACAGAAAGGTTATCATATGGTATATTTTTATGTTTTTTGTTCACTAATGTTGTCTTCCAGTATCTATCGATCTACGAATTTATAATTTCAATAAATTTGTTCAAGTTTATAATATGAACTTACTTTGAAAACTGCTCTCGGTGCTGATCGACTTCCTTGAACACATTCGGATCGCCTTCGTCCCGGGCCCAGTCGTCCAACCGTTCGATGCACTTTCGCAAAGCCGCTATCTTCCCTCGACCGGCTTCGTTCAGAGTGTCCAGTTCGGCTATCGATCCGCGGAATGCTAGAATGTCCTAATGGCACAAAGAAAAAATAAATAAAATAAACTCAAACACAAAAAAAATATGTTCTCCGTTCTTACCTGAATGATTGCCTTTGCGTGAAGATTGTTGTCGACTATGTCTTGCCGGATGGACGACAGCGTGTATTTGTGGGATTCCATTCTGGTTCAACGAGATGAATCGTTTGCTGGAAACCGAATTCACAATAGTCGAAAAACAACGGCAATTTCAGTGAACTTTTCACATCACTTGAGGAAAAGTTTGGTTCGGGAGGTTCAAGACCGAGGATCACAATGACACATCACCGTTTTATTGTTTTGGTTTTTTACTCGTTATCTGCATCGGTTGTCAAAAAGTGCATTATTTTTTGAAAGAAAGAGAGTTTTTGAAAGTATTGAGAGTGAGTGCCTGAGATTCAGGGATGCCAGATGTGCGAGATGTGCAGAAACTACACGGAGAATCGAAACAACACAACATTAAGTTTTTCATACTCGCCTACCCGTAAAAAAAAAGAACGATACAGGAACAATGAAATGTATTATAACCATACAATAGAATTTATTGTACTGAAAATAAATTGTATTGTCAACAACGATAAAATAACAATTGAATTTATAATTTCCACAATAGAATCTATGGTAAATGTGGAAATCTACAATATAACTAGGGGGTTGTTATGTATCATAACCGTACAGAAAATCACTTTTTCTCGAATAAACTTGAGTCATTTACCATTAATTTTATTGTTTAAAAATTCATGCTCTATGGAACGTATTGTAGATCTATTGTAATAACAATATTTTAAATTTACTTGTATGATATACATACAATCAGTGATGCAAAATATCATGACACTCACGTGACACTCGTCTTCGCATCAACCGACTATCGCTGACAGATCGTTTTGTCACGCAGTGAGAGTTAGAGCCATGGCCAACAACAATCACCTATAATGGTCGTTGCTCACAAGCAAAACGCAACACTCGCTGCTGATGATGAGAAGCACAACGAAAACAGTGAAGACTTCTGCAGTACGATCATGAGAAAAAGCGAAACGACAGAAGAAAATGAAAACATTACCTACGCATTCCAAGTTCGGCTCGGCAGGCGCGACTGTGTGAGTTACAAACAAAGCAGGCAACATGAAACGGAAGCTGTTGGGCTCACTCACCAACACACTCACATAAGCAAGCAAAGCAGCAACTGCTTCAAAACGAGCACAGATGAGTGTCGTGATTGTCGGGAATGACCAGATCGGTTGAGGATCACAACAGAAGACGACATTCACCAGTTGCTTTTAACTTCTTTCGTCAACTTGATGGATGGTCATGGAGAGAGCTTCGACGTGCACATTGATAGGAATGTACGAAGCGTTACTACCATCAGCTGTTTGGCGATCGTGATTGTGATAGGTCGCAACTCTGCATACAATAGGATCGAATGTTGGCAATAGATTTTGTTGTGATTTTGTATTATTTTATAGTAATTGTATGGTTATTTTTTCCGGGTAAGTACACACCAAATTTGAATCACTGAACGTTCCAGCAAAATAATGCTGCTGAATTTTTCAGCAATTTCAACTTCTGTAAAAATGACAACCTTTTCATGAAAATCAGCAATATTTCTTTACTGATCTTTCAGCAATTCAAAATTCTGACGTTTGGCAGCATTTTGCTGATTAAACTTTTAAATTCAGTAAATCGAATTTGTTTTCACAATATGAGCTTCAAGCTTCTGAAAAGATCGTTGATACAAATATACCAATAATAAAGATAAAATCACCAGACTATTTTCCAAGTACACATTTATTAAATATAACCAGTGTCCTAGCCAGTGTCCTTACCTACATAATTGTAATTATGTGTAGTTTTTTTTACCTCTTCCTCCTCCTGCGGTTTGACCGGTGGTGTACGAATGCAAAAATAGTTGCGACTGTGATGCTAACAGTTTGACAGCTCTTTGACTGGGTGTTAGTTTATGTTAGCTGATTTTTTTCGGTAAAAATATCGTTTGCTGTTTTTCAGTAAATCATTGGATTGCTGATCATGATCCAGCAATTCGTTTTACTGATAATGAAAACTTAAATTTGGTGTGTACAACCAACAATCAATAGTTTATTCGATTGAGCCTGTACAAACAAAGTAATTAATAATAAAACCAACAATCAATACGAAACTAACGATTTTAAATTGGCTCACTACTTGACAAGCCTATTGGTCCCAAGCAAACGATTAACGTACCCCATTCTAGTCGAAATTCTAGTACTACACAATGTTTGTTTTGATTCGCTATGAAAGTTTGACAGATAAAATGAGGGGTTAGTGGATTTTCCTATGTTTCGAGGGATGAATCGATTAGCTTGGGACCGAAGAGAGTACCAGCATAGAGGTAACTCTAAGACCACTGGGTCCCGAAGAAAATCATTATTATTTTTGGCTCACTCAGTACCAGAACAACGGTCCCAAGCAGTCCCAAGCTATTTCACTCACCCCTGCATGTTCTGCATGTATCCACGCACCCCTGATGTTATCTGTCAAACTTTCATAGCGAATCAAAACAAACATAGTGTAGTAATAGAATTTCAACTAGAATAGGGTACGTTAATCGTTTGCTTGGGACCAATAGGCTACTAAAGTGGTGAGCCAATTTAAAATCGTTAGTTTCGTATTGATTGTTGGTACCAGAGCTTAGCCAAAAATTTGAGCGACGGGTGTTGGTGTTTAATGTTCATAGGATGATAAAAGTCCCATGTTTTAGGGTTTTATAATGCCCTCTAAGGCAGACCAGAAACCTAACAACGGTCTATCAACGGCCGGAAAGATGGGGTACATTGTTGGAAACCGACTATACTGCCCTGTGCGGCATAACAGTCCCATTAGCATTTTTGGCGATTATGAGTTATACATTGGAATCGATTGTCAAGTACCATCACTTTACAATGTACACGAAAAAAATCCTACTTTGTTCAGAAAATGTCGCGAAAAATAACAAAACTATGTTGTCCCATCTATAAGAGCCCATGGAGAAAAAAATCTTCAAGCGCGTTTTTCTCAGCTTGCTGTTTTAACGAATGGGACAACTATGCTGAAAAGGGCAGTATAGAGGATGATGAATAGACTTCTGTAGTTTGTTTTGTGTGATCATTATTTGAAATAAGGGTGCTAATGGGGTCTGAATAACTGCCTCTTTCTGTTGAGCCCACTCTAGAATCTACATTTCGTATTTATATCTAAGTCTGGTCTGAGTTCCTCTGGTATATTCAATTAGATGATGTTCCTGAATATATATTCAAACAGCAAGTCATGTTGTGAATAACTTCAATGACACACTCAAAATAATCCACACTTTAATAGTACGTGGAAAATCACGTAAGGTTTCAATTTTCTCACTTTAGTCTACTTCACGTGCCTCTCGTAAAATCTATGCAATGCCACCTGAATGTTAAAAGAAATTCCAACTACACCCATTTATTTATCCAATGAAATTTACGTGATTTCCACATACCTAGAATCTATGTGCGTTTCATGTAAGTCTTAAGTGAATTCCACGTATGAAAAAAATAGGGCACTTTGCTGGGTGTTCAACATGGTGGCATGAGTATAAAGATGCAGATTTGTTGCTGTTGTATAGTATTTTTGGACTGGTTGAAAACGTAAGTATAACATTTAAATTATGCTGTAAACTATTCGTTTTTTTATTAGTTTATTTGAAGGTGACAAGCAGCAAAAGCAGTTAACTTTTCTCTTTCTTCCTTTCCAGCCCCACCATGGACCGCTTCGGATACCATCAGCGTGATAAGCAATAGCGACGGAAGCGAACATGCACGGTTTCTGCACTTCTACAAACACCTCAACTTTGCTCAACTTCAGCAGTTGAATTTGCAGCTCATGGCTCCTCATCGGTGCGGGAAGATAATGGATGGTATTACCTGCTATTAGCAGCTCAAATGGAGGCGAAGCTACAAGGAAGCCGGGAAGAGTAATCGTCCCATGGAGGCACATTGACCAAACGTCGAGTTCCTGATTGGTTATATAGCAAAGTTTTTCTTTTTCTTTTGTTTACAATAAATTGAACACTTTAATGCAAATAAAGAAATTCCATGAATTTTATTGTAATAAACATTAAAATTATGAAAAAACAGCAAACAGCAGTAACAATAATGGTACAAGAAATAACTTAAAAATCTATCGACAGTTTCACGTAACTTCTACGTGATAATCCTGTGACGTTTAAGCTTCATGAAATGAGTGCCCCTACATGAGAATCACATAGTCCTTACGTGAAAAGTACGATGGAAAAAATCTACGTACGTTTTCACGTAGCATTGACGTGAAAATTAATTTGAGTGCAGTTATCCAGCAGTAAGAGGAGGTACACTCAAAGATAAATTAAATCAAAAAAGCTTAAAAAGTATGAAAAGTAATAACACTATGAGGTAGAGGAATGATTTCTCTATCATTTGGTATAGTTTGTTTGTGAGATTGAGCTTTTATTCAAGAGAAATCAGTAATTGATGTGTTTGTTTTCAAAAGCAATTACGCCCAAATCTCAAATCACTCCGGAAATCAACCATGATTCTACGTCCACGATTGTCTGATGTCTTTTTTACTCATTAATGGGAACTTTCAAGTTAGCGTGAAGATCCCATTCACTCATGTGAAAAAAGTTGCAACACACCTCCAGCCTATTTTGTTTCTCTGTTGTGCTCTCTCATTTAGCTCGGTTTTATTTTCCTGTTTTCTTCGCATCTCTCAGTGTAGCACTCAAAAGTGCCGTCAAAAATCTAGCAAAAGTGCAGCGAGCGCCGAGTAGCGACAGCGCCAGTGCAGTGCGGCTTCCCCCGTGTATGAATCACCCAAAAAATCACCCATCCAAAACCATCAGAAACTGCTGTAAAGAGAGAGTGAGATCAAAAAACATTCGGATCGAATCCGAAAAACAGAAAATCAACAGTGTTCAGGAAAATTAATGAAAGTTATTTTATGAATATTTATTGTCTCATCGGAATTGATTCCGGATCAGTCGATTGCATTTGAAGGGTAAGTGAATCAATAAATTAGGGAACCTAAGTTTGATGTTTGATGGACAAGTTTCACAAGTTTAGATAACACTTTGGTAGTGATGGCCCTGAGAATGGATCTAATGACGGCTGAGTCCGCACAGATGGGAACTATAGAACCACAGGAACGATTGAGACAGCTAGCTGCTCTCAGCAATAGTATCGAGGTCGATGCTAATATTCCAATAAAAAGATACTACAGATCCGGACTGGAAATGGTTCGCATGGCAAATGTTTATCACCAGGAGGGAAACATTGATTGGGCATACATTTTGTATGTCAAGTTTATGACTTTATTTCTGGAGAAGGTTCTGAAACATCCGGAATATAAAACTGTGCCTGCGGATCTGAAGCAACAGAATCAGAAAAAATTGAAGGAGGTTCTTCCCATGGCTGAAAAGTTGAAGGTGAAGCTATTGGAAAGGTTCACTAGGGAGTATCAACAATTTCTGGAGGCTAAGCGTCTGGAGAAGGAACGAGAGGAAAAGCGAATGCGAGAAGAAAAAGGAAGAGCGAAGACTATGCCAATTGCACCCCCTACGAATTTGCCACAGCCTAGCGCACCTTCCTTTTCTCCGTCAATGCTGGCCGATTCGGATATGCTTGACCGTGTGCTCTATCCAAATGATTTCCCTACCGATCCTAATCGCTTATCCGGCACTGGCTTGTTGCTGCCAGATACAAAGCCCATCCCAAAGCCAGCATTCGATCGTAGCCTAAAACCATCACCCACCTCGGTTCTGGCCGGCAGCCTGCGACCTGTGGTAGTTCCAACGAATACGATGGCCAAATTTCTTGCTCTCGCTTCACATAATACGCTTAGCAATGTGGAAACGTGTGGCATTCTTGCTGGCCGGCTGGCTCAGAATAAACTGTTGATAACGCACGTGATTGTTCCGAAGCAACGGGGAACTTCGGACAGTTGCACAACGATGAACGAAGAGGATATCTTCAACTTTCAGGATCAACACAATCTAATTACGCTCGGATGGATACACACGCATCCTAGTCAGACAGCATTTCTTTCTTCGGTGGATCTACACACGCACTGTTCCTATCAGATGATGCTAGAAGAGGCGATCGCTATCGTGTGCTCGCCAAAATACCAGGAGTGCGTTTGTACTTTAATCTTGTAATGCCAATAATTTGCTAATATGTTGCTCGTTTCTAGAACTGGGTTCTTCTGCCTGACACCCAGCTACGGGCTGGATTACATTTCGCAGTGTCGACAAACGGGCTTTCACCCGCATCCAAAGGATCCTCCCTTGTTCATGGTGAGTAATGCGTTCTTCACTGACTGTGCCTACATGCCAATAAGGGGTCATCCAAAATTAAGTAAGAGGGTTTTTTAGTGATTCCCCGAGCAATGCGGGAGATCAAATTGAAACCAAAATTTGCTGTTGTTATGTAACTTATTTTGACCTAAAATGTGTTATACAAAACAATAATATCAGACTACCCTACTCCCCTAATCCGCTAATCCCTTACATAATTTGTGGATGACCCGCATTGATCCTTGAAGCCATCTTTATGAAAGATAGTAAAAGTAATAAAATACTTTCAAAATGCCCAACAGGAAGCACTCCACATCGTGCCAGACGACACAGCCAAAATTGAAGTGGTTGACTTGCGATAATTTACCCTCGATAGTGAATGTTCCAAAATAGACTTACAAGAAGCACACAAACATTCGCACCAATAGATGCTAGTGCAGATCGACGAAAGACCGCTAGATTGTGCGTACCGGTAGATTTATTTTTTAGTAGTATTTCAAATTAGGAACACCGCAAATTTCCTCTGCATTGAGTTTAGATGGTATTATTCTATTTACAGATGCCTATATATTTATTATAGAGTCAGAACAAGGGGACCTATTCTGCCGCTATTCATATAACAGTCCCGTGTCCCATGTACGTGGGACTGTTATGCGAATAGCGGTAGTATTGTGTAGTGCAAAGTGTTTAATATTTCTAGCTAGGGAGAGACGTACTTTCAAACAACAAAATAATTAATGTAATCGTGTGTAGAGCGCTTTAAACGAAATTATAGAAAACTTAGCACGTGCAAGGTGTGAGCGCTTTACAGTGAGCGAAACGATTTTCGACAGTGTATGGGGTTGATTTCTGAATTGCTTGATGTTTTTTTTTGTATTGTAACTACAAGTTTAACCAATAATTCCAAAGAAGCGCCAAGTGGCTACCTATTTCAAAGCTGGTAATTTTTCCGTTTGTAGCAATGTTCTGACGTCCCCGCGATAGCTGTGTAGGTGCGAGAAAATATCACATGCAAATTCGATGTTAAATCGAGACGTAATAATAAATCAAAACTAAATTCTGTTCTCGAAATTGTAAACTGCATAAAGTTCTTTTGATGACCTTATCCCGAGCAAAGTATGAGATCAAATTGAAAACTAAATTTAATGTTGTGATTTCACTGATAATGGTTACTCCGGTTGCTGTCGTTTTGGTCGTTTTAACGGTTAAAATATCTAAAATCTACCTATGACATCACATTGAAAACTAATTCTGGTATCAGTAAGAAAACTGAACATTCAATTTAATTAAAATAATAATAATAATAATAATAACAACCCAAATGATTGAACTATTCCACAAATAGTTTGGATGATACCTGGAACACGTCGTTAAGCTAAATAACCATAACAATTTTATTCGGGAAGACAAAAGCTGCGACAACATATTTTTGAATAGCAAAATTAAAACAAAATTTGTTATCAAATTTGTCAATCGCGTAAACTGAAATCAAATAATGATTTCAGACCAGCAGGTCCCGAAGAAACGTGCTCAAATTTTTGGCTCAGCTCTAGTACCACAAACGAAGTGACAGACGACTAACTGGCGAAGAAATCCATTAAAATAATGTGGTTCACTGTAATAGAATTTTCTTGGAAGCTTGTGCCATCATCCACCAGATGGGTTAATTTTTTTGTTTTGATTTGAACAAAGTTGATTTTGTGTACAATGATTCTTTGACAGTGTGCAAAGAGTGTATCATTTTGTCATTTTTTTTACGCATTTCAGTTTTGAGTAGAGTGAAAGAGATAGAACCAAAACATTCTAATACATTTAGTGAAAATGCTAGTACAAGCCAGTAGTAGTGGTGTTGCCATGTGGTACACTGAAAAATTGAAATAGCAGGTTAGTCACCAAAGTTTTCGAGCCGCTCCGTCTGTCACTTCGTTTGTGCTAGTACTATCTTCGGTCCCAAGCTAATCGATGCACCCCTCGAAACATTGGAAAATCCACGAACCCCTCATTTTATCTGTCAAACTTTCATAGCGAATCAAAACAAACATAGTGTAGTACTAAAATTTCGACTAGAATGGAGTACGTTAATCGATTTGCTTGGGACCAATAGGCTAATCAAGTAGTGAGCCATTTTAAAATCGTTAGTTTCCACCGGTTCCACGACGACCGATTCCAGTGCTGCCACAGCCACTGTCATCACCGATTGGCTGCTGCTCGTACCGCTACTACTGCTGCTCAAGCTCAAACTGCCGGAGCCCCTGCAAACTCAGGTCAACAGACGACTGCTGCTCCTCAGCCGCAGGATCTCCCTAAAACCCCTGGGCTAAACTGGCGTCTGGATGGACTGTCCCGCGCGCTATGGTTCTTGGTTCGCCACAGCGGAACTAATAATCATCCTCCTCAAGATGCACGACATTGCCAACACCATCAAGAACAAATCCGACCAGCTCCAAGCTGTGGCTACCTTCATGCTCAGTTATGGACCGTGAGCTCATCAAAACCGCAAACTGGAACGCTTGTTCGCTCAACAGCAAAATTATCGAGTTCGTTGACTTCCTCAACGAACATCGACATCGCTATCATCATCGAAACTCACCTGAAACCGGAGATGAACGTATTTATTCCTGGGTTCTGGCTCGTGAGGCTGGATCTGTCAAGCTCTGGGGGTGGTGGAGTGGCCATCGATACCAGGAACAACATCTGCTGCCGGCTGCTACCCAGTTTCCAGCTGAAAATGGTTAAAGCATTGGAAGTGGAAGTCTTCAGACCCGTCGGCCCCGTCACTATCATTGCGGCCAGGGATGGATCCGCGGTAGATCCATAGAGGTAACTCTAAGACCACTGGGTCCCGAAGAAAATCATTATTATTTTTGGCTCACTCAGTACCAGAACAACGGTCCCAAGCAGTCCCAAGCTATTTCACTCACCCCTGAATGTTCTGCATGAATCCACACACCCCTGATGTTATCTGTCAAACTTTCATAGCGAATCAAAACAAACATAGTGTAGTAATAGAATTTCAACTAGAATAGGGTACGTTAATCGTTTGCTTGGGACCAATAGGCTACTAAAGTGGTGAGCCAATTTAAAATCGTTAGTTTCGTATTGATTGTTGGTAGATCTGCGGAGAGATATTGTCAAGATAACATGACGCCGTAGAAAATTCATCATCGCTGGTGACCTGAACGCCAAACATCAAGCTTGGGGCAACCAAAGGCGGAATCAAAACGGCACCATCCTGAACGACATCCTGCAAGAGGCTCACTACACCATCCTGGTGCCGGACACTCCCACCCGGCTGAGTCAGAAACATGGAAGACAACATCTCGCAACCTGTGACCCAACTGTGTGGTGGCCGAAGTGGGCTCATCCGTCAACCGATTCCAAGCTTCCCGACGCAACTATCATCGTGCCAGCTGTGATCAGTTCCAACACTGTGTCGACTCCACTGTCGACTACGGTGTCCTTCCGGAGACGCCCGAAGACGTTGACCGATGTCTGCATTACATCGAGGAGGCGATATCCCGGGCCAGGGAACAACACGTGCCAGTATCCAGACAGGTGAGCAATACTCTGAACCTTGACAGATCTACCAAAGACCTTATAAGACTCCGTAACACCATCCGAAGCCAGTACCAAAACTCTGGTCTGCCTATCCTTAAGACCCACTGTAATCGCCTTACAAAAACCATCCAAGCCAGGATGGTGGACCTCAGAAATCAGGACTTTGCTGACGGGATTCGCTCTCTCCCAGATTGTGTAAAGCCCTTTTGGAAACTAACCAAAATTCTTAAAAATAAGCCAAGACCCATTCCACTACTAACCTCACTGGATCGTTACGGTGACCCAGTGGTTCATCTGATAACTCCTGAAGAAAAGGCTGCCGCGATAGGTCAACACTTCGTCAGCTCCCATAATCTTGGACAAAGCAACCAACCTCCGTCAGATTCCCAATTTTTTTTCCGAGGAATCCGAGATTACAGCTGACGAACTGTTGGCCTATATCGAATCATCTAAAAACATGAAGGTCCCAGATTTCGACAACATCCTAAATCTGGAACTCGAACACTTGAGTTCCAGATTCTACAACCATATGGCACTGATTTTTAATCTGTGCCTCCAACTTGGCTACTTCCCCTCGTGCTGGAAGTCAGCTAAAGTTATACCCACCCGGAAACCTGGGAAGGATTCGTCCTTCAAGTTATTGTTATCAAATTATCTCAGGGTTATCAAAACTGTTCGAAAGAGCAGTCTACCACCGGCTCCTAACATCTGCCGAAGAAAACAACTTGTTACTTGATGGTAACAGTAGCTGACTCGAGTAACAAACATTCTCAGACGGAACAAGTATCTTTGGAAAACATCTGCCATGGCGTTGTTGGACGTTAAAAAAGCGTTCGACAATGTCTGGCATGATGGCCTGGTGTTCAAATTGCAGCACTACGGTCTTCCAATCTTCCTAGTGAAGATAATTAACAACTATCTATCGAACAGGGCGTTCCGAGTCTTTCTGAATGGCATCACATCGGATGCTTTCAACATCGGTCTGGAGTTCCACAAGGAAGCATCCTTGGCCCCATTCTATACAACCTGTTCACCTCCGATATGCCGGCTCTCCCTGATGGTGGAACGTTGTCTCTGTTCGCAGATGACACATCCATCGTCTACAAGGGTAGGGTCATCGGAGCTCTGACTGCCAGACTGCAGAGAGGCCTGGACGTCCTGTTTTTTTTTTTAGTTCTTTATTAAGGAGATTTTTAGCCTATGGCTAGTTCATCTCCGGAGAAAGGAGAGGGCTCAGAGTGAGTAACCTTTAGATACATGGTATATTAACATTTAGTAAATAACTTTGGTTGCTGGCTCTTCAACTTATATGAAAAATAAAAATATATAAAATAATGAAACAGAGGAACAACAGAAAACAAAATGATTTAAGACAAGCTACAAACGATTAATACAAACAAAACAGAGCTCAGCTGGTATGGGTCCAATAGGGGAAACCCATCCAGCTGAGATGTCCAGAGGACCGAAAGAAATTCCTGCTATACCAAGTGGTAGATTTTGGCTTCTTTTAAGAAGGTTACTAGTGCTGCCGAGGCCGAAGTATCATTCCCGAGCAGATCGCTGATGCTGGAAGTTAGGCAGAGTGACTCCCGAAGATTTTGGAACTCCGGGCAGTTGCACAGGATGTGTTCGACGGTGTAGGGTACCCCACAGATGATGTAGCTTCTGCGGAACGGCAGGCCACCATAGTTATAGTAGAGTTTGGTGTGCCCTGTTCGAAGCCACGAAATCACGCGTTGATTCCTCAGGTTGTTCAGTTCTCTCCATGGTTCAGTTGACCCTTTGACTTTGCGGATGAAGGCAGTTCTGTTGCGGAACCACTCGGCTTCCCATGCCGCTCGAATGGTCCGCATGATCCACCATCTGACGTCCTGTAGGGGTACCTTGTTGGTGAGTCTGGGACCCGATGTGATCAGCAGACTCGTTACCTGGCACTCCGCAGTGTCCGGGAATCCATGTGTACACGGTGTTCGGTGGGGCGTACTTGATAATCGCCTGGATCCATGGGTGTTTTGGTGCTTCCGAGGTGATCGCTTGAACGACGCTGTGTGAGTCGATTAATATAAGTATCGGTTTGGCGTCGTAGCGGCACGGAAGATCGCTGCAGCCTCGGCCGAAAAAACCAAGCATTGTGGAGGAAGACTGCTGCTTTCAGCAATACCGCCTCCAAAAATCCCGATACCTACTCCGTTTATAGATCGGGAGCCGTCGGTGTACCGATGTACGTGGTCGGCATAGTTGGACCCAAGTAACTCGGTGACCGATCTGCGCAAAATGATGGATGCATCCCGCTTTGAAGTGGTTCTTGATCCGATTGTCCAATTGGATTCGTGAAGAGTGTCAACTTTTCTCTCCATGCCAATGGACTTTGGCCACTGGGGGGAGGTTGATGTTGGCGGCCGTTCGGAGGACTCTGTTCCCCTCGTCGAGGAGAAAGATCCTATTGTTTCCGGAGGTCTTGGCGGAAAAGGCGGCGGC